CCTCCCCTCCCACATCGTCCACATCCCATTTTAATTTTCAGTCACCTTTGTCGGGTCGGGGGTGGGGAGCAGCCGTGCCGCTCGTATTCTGACCCTCCCTTGTCGCCTGCCTCCGTGACCCAAACAGGAAGAGCGGATCCGCCGTGGCGACGACCTGAGGCTTCAGATGGCCATAGAGGAGAGCAGGAGGGAGACTGGTGGCCAGGAGGAGGTGAGCACGGGAGGCCGTCCTGCCCTCAGGCGCCCGGGGCCTTGGGCGGGGCCCTAGGCGGCTGTGGCTGTGGCTGCAGGGAACCTTTTTCTCGTGGAGACGTGTGGGGGCTGGAGGGCGCTCGAGTGTGACCCCACCACGGAGATGTTTCGAGTGGCGGTCGGCGCCTGTAGCTGAGCGAGACCAGAGCGAGATACAGTGAGAGCACCGGTCTGATCGGGCAGGAAGGGGGTGGCTCACGTGTGCCCAGGCACCTCCTGAGCATCCGCCTGCGCCCGGGACACCGAGGGTCAGCGGGCGAGCGACACAGGGCTGGTCCCTGGCCTCCGGGGGCCCCAGTCCCCCAGTGCAGACGTGATGTTTGCTGGCAGTTCAACTTGTGCTCTTCATCCCGCCTCTCTTGGCCTCACGGGTGAATGAGGCGTGGCCGTGCACATTGAGGCCAGGGTCCCTCGCGTGGCCGGGCATCCAAGCCGGCCTTGTTCCGTGGCCTCACTCGGGTTGCTGTCCCGAGCGTCTTCACTGTGGGACCGGCCTCAAGGATGGTGGCCTGGGAGGGTAGCCGCCTTCCTGATGGGCAGGCGGAGGGCGGGTGGCCAGGTGGCCAGGGCTGGCCCCGCAGCCACAACAGGGCACTGGATAGAGGAGCCTGCTTGGGCTAGCCTCAGCCGGAGGGTCTCCCTGATGCCCCACCTCTCGAGAGCCTGGAGGACGGGGGCGCCAGGCCTGCGCCCGCTGTCCCGTGGGAGGTGGGGCACCTCCTTGTCCAGAGAGGCGTGTGCTCTTGGGACACAGGGTCATTGTGTGAGAGTGCGCGCACGCGCGTGTGTGTGTGTGCGCGCGCACGCATGTGCATGCTCACAGGTGCTCCAGGCTTCCAGGGCTATGGGTGAGCGCCTGTGAGCGCGTGCGCACACTCACACACACACACACACACACACACACACACACACACACACAGCCGTGGAAGCCTGGAGCATGCTCCAGGTGACGTGGGACGTGTGCTGGGCTTGAGGCCAGGACTGTTCAGGGTGACCCATAATCACCTAACACTCAGTGGGCCTCCCATGGGCAGGGCTGGGGTGGGCTCCTCTGGGCTCTGGTCGCTTTCCTTGTTGTGGCGGGAACTGGGGAGGGCTGAGTGTGGGGGGTGGCGGACAGCAGGGGTGTAGTGGGTGGGAGATGGGGAGACTGCCTTCTTTGGTCTCATGACCACAGCACCTGGCTCTTGCTTCTCTCTTGCTCTGCAGCCGTTCCCCCCCCCCCCGCCCCCCGCCCCAGGGCCCTCCTCCCGGACCCCTGGGGTCCCCTGGCCCAGCCTGCTCGGGCCTCATGTACTTTCTTTCCTCTGTACCCTGCAGTCCTCCCTCATGGATCTTGCTGACGTCTTCACGGCCCCGGCTCCACCACCAGCCACGGACCCCTGGGGAGGCCCCCAGGCGGCACCCATGACTGCCCCCACCTCGGACCCTTGGGGAGGGGCCCCCGTCCCTCCAGCTGCTGATCCCTGGGGTGGTCCGGCCCCTACACCAGCCTCTGGGGACCCTTGGAGGCCTGCTGCCCCTGCAGGGCCCCCGGTTGACCCTTGGGGTGGGACCCAGGCCCCTGCAGCTGGAGAGGGGCCCACACCTGACCCGTGGGGGAGCTCTGATGGTGAGTGCTGGCTGCCTGCCCCACATCCAGTGTGTGATCCCGGGCATGCCTTAGGGATTGGGATAGATGCAGTACAGTGGGTGGCTGTGGGGGTCAGATAGAACAGCCCAGAGGAGTGGGCGTGAGGGAGCCTGCAGGACCGTGGCGGGGTGCCAAGGGGCGCGAGGTAGAGAGGTTGCTGCAGTGGAACCAGGGCGGGTGGCTGGTGAGGCTGGGTGCAGGAGGGCTGGGACGGGGCTGGACGCCTTGGGGGGGTCTCAAGGGAGCCATGGGATTTGGGCAGGTCTGGGTGAGCCATACCGCCTTACCCAGCTGGGGTGCTCTTTGGGGGCTTCCCAGAGGCCTCACGGCCGAGGAGGGACGTGTGGGCAGAGGCCGCGCAGTGTGTGTAGCCATGGCTCATTCGTGGGGACGAGGCGGGAAAGGCTGGGGGTGGGCCCACGCTGGGGTGCCCAGCTGCGTCCCAGGACACGGCAGGGCAGGGCGAGGCTTTGGGGAGGTACGGGCCTAGGAGTGAGGCTGGAGGGAGTGGGCACAGGTTCTCAGAGGTAAACCCTCCACCCAGCAGCCGCGTACATGCCTCCTTCCTCACTCAGGTGGGGCTCCGGTAGGTGGACCCCCAGCCTCTGATCCCTGGGCTCCAGCCCCGGCCTTCTCGGACCCCTGGGGAGGGTCACCTGCCAAGCCCAGCACCAATGGCACCACAGGTACTGGGTGGGTGCTGGGGTCAGGCTGACGGGGCCCAAGGGTGTGGCGGGTGTGTGGGGGAGCTTGGGGGGGTGTCTGGTCTCTGGAGTGCCGGGGGCTGGGGAGTGGGAGGTGGGTCCCCATGGGGAGCTGAGTGGGCATCCTGGACCCCCACAGCCGTCGGGTTTGACGCGGAGCCAGACGAGTTCTCGGACTTTGACCGCCTGCGTTCGGCCCTGCCAACCTCCGGGAGCAGCACGGGTGAGCCACCCTCTGGGCTGTGTGGGCCGGCACCCAGACCCTTTCATTGTGGTTATAACTGATCCTGAACATCTTCAAAAGAAAGTTTGACCTTGGTTTTGAATAATTTCATACTCAGAAGAGCTGCAGAAGTAGCATAAGGGACTGTGTTTTTGCAGCTTCCCTAGATTCCGAACTCTGACTTCTGTGTCCCCGGAATGTTCCTCTGGTGTTTCTGGGGGCCCGGCCGGCTGTGTCCTGCATCACCAGCAGTGTGGTGACTGCGGGGGCCCACCCCCCCGGCCTGCCCGCCGGTGCCTCAGCGCCCAGCGCCTTCCCCACCTGGCGTCCCGTCTTCGGGGCACCTTGCGTTTGGGCGTCCTGGCTCTTGTGTCCCTCCCTTCCCGGCACGGACTGGACTGGCTTGTGTCTGGAGAACATGCCGTCTGTGCGAGGTGTCGGGAGGGCACGAGCCTGTCCCCAGGAGGCGCCGATGCGTCTCCCTGTGCCAGTGGCCTGAAGCGGACCCGGGAAGCAGAAGCAGGAATTCTTGGGACTGACTGGGCAGGCCGGGCACCAGGGATCCCTCCCGCCCCTTGGGCCCCCTGAGGTTATTGTCCAGTCCCCCGTCCGTCCGTGGTTTGCTACCTTCCCAGGTCCGTTTTCCTCTCTCCCTGCCGGTTTCGTGCATTTCCCAGCGGCAGGGGGGATTCTCAGATCTCAGAAACAAGCAGACAGTCAGGCTCACAGATGCTCTGCCGTCTGCGGGGCCATTGTGCTTCTCCGCCGTGATGGTTCTGTTGGGGACGGACGCTGGAGCCAGTGGGGTTTTGTGGGACTGCGTGAACGTCCCTTGGTAGTTTTCTGCCCTGGAGACTGTCTGCCGGAGTTCCCTGAGTGCGTCCCCCTGGCTTGGCGCTAGGCTGGGCCTCCCAGTTTGAGGCCCCCGCTGCCTGCCCTCCCCTGACCCCTCTCTGGCTCCTTGTAGGGGAGCTGGAGCTGCTCGCTGGAGAGGTACCCGCACGCAGTCCCGGGGCGTTCGACATGAGTGGGGTCGGAGGCTCTCTGGCCGAGGCTGTGGGGAGCCCCCCGCCGGCGGTTGCCCCCACCCCGCCGCCGCCCACGCGGAAGACACCAGAGTCATTCCTGGGGCCTAATGCAGCCCTCGTGGACCTCGACTCACTGGTGAGCCGGCCGGGCCCCACGCCGCCAGGAGCCAAGGCCTCCAACCCCTTCCTGCCAAGCGGTGAGTGCCAGCCCCCCGGACGGATCCCACCCGTTGACCTCCTCCTCCCCGGGCAGGCCCCTGACTCTGCTCTGCTGTCTCCTCTTCTCTTCTCTCCCTGTAGGAGCCCCGACCACCGGCCCCTCCATCACCAACCCCTTCCAGCCCGCGCCCCCTGCGACGCTCACCCTGAACCAGCTCCGGCTCAGCCCTGTGCCCCCGGTCCCCGGAGCACCACCGACATACATCTCTCCCCTTGGTGGGGGCCCTGGCCTGCCCCCCATGATGCCCCCAGGCCCCCCAGCCCCCAACACTAACCCCTTCCTCCTATAATCCAGGAGGGAGGGGGATTTGGCCTGGCCGGGCTTCCCCCATTTCTGCTCCCTGGGAGACCAGTGTTGTGAGTGCATGTGAAGCGGGGGACCCCTGCCCCCACCCCAGCACCCTCCCCTCCTGGGGCCCACTCACACTACACCCTCTTCCATGTCCCCCACCCCACCTCCCCGGAGAGAAACTGGACGTGACATGGGGGATGGGGAGGGGTGCTGGCCGGAGGAGGACCCCTTTCCTGTGGCATTAGAAAGGGGAGGGACAGCTGGGGGTCCCCCACCCATTCCTCTCCCTCCCAACTCCTGACTGGCCCCTCAATCAGTGTTTGAGCCTCCTCGTCCCTATGCGCACCCCGTGGTGAATCCTTGGTGATAATTTTGGCAACTTCGGGAATAAATGGCAATTCTCATGGGTGTCACTCCCCCAGGTTCCCATCCGTGGTTCACACAACGTCCTCCCCCGAGGGACCCAGGGCCCCGGGCCTCTTTGTTGCCCCTTGGGCCAGCTGAGAGCCGGTGCGTCTCAGAAGTGTCGGTTCCGGAGGCCTCAGTTCCGGTGGGCAGCCGTGTTGGGGCGTGGGGGGTGCCTGAGTCCCCGTGGGCGGCAGCCCACTCGGGGCTGGAGAGCTTAATGAGGTTCTTGGGTGTGGGTGCCTCACACATGCTTGTGGCCAGTGGACCCCACGTGGGGGTCGGGGGTCGTGTAGGGCTGGGTGAGCTGTGGATGAGCAGGTGAGGGTTCCTGAGACGATGGCGGGGTGAGCTTGACACGCGGCGGTGCTGCCGTGCTGTGACCAGTGCGCATGCCCATCCGGGTACAGCCGGCAGTGGTCTATGCTGCTACCGGAGCAGAGGGACACCGGGTCTGAGCTCTTGCTCTTCCGCCCCCCGCCCTGCCGTGGGTCCCTCTCCCATGGTGGTGAGGGCTGTCTGTGTCTCACACTCCAAGGAGGCGGCCGACGTGAGGGGATGGCTTATGAGCCCCAGGGACAGCCACGGGGACGGCAGGTCAGAGATGGCGGAGCGGGAGTGACCTTACCGTCAGGGCGGCTGGACTTCTGTCCTTGCTGTCGAGGGGCGCGGTGGCTGAATGCATGGGACAGCGGCAGCTTCCGCACCCAGAGAAGGGAGGGCCTGGGGTGCTGGGAGCACGGGGGCAGGTGGGCGAGCCCCGGTCTTGGTCTTCCCGGGGCTCCAGGGACCCGGCGGGCTGGACCCTCCTTCCATGGGGCGGGGAGGGGCGGGGGGAGATAGAAACACGACCTGGGTTTGTTGTCCAGAAGCCCTGAGGGTCTGTCCCCAGACGGCGGCCGCAGCACTTAGCGCGTCCCCTCTCGTTCCCTCGGTATGAACGCACGTCAGCTCCAAAGCCCCGGTGCCCCCGCCTCGTCCCTCTAAGAGCCCCGACCCCTGATTAGGCCTGCGCGCCGGGTTTGTAGTGACCGGCCCCCACCTGAGTGCTGAGGAGCCCAGCCGGCCGTTCCTGCCTCACTGGCTCGCTCCTCCTCCTCCTCCTCCTCCTCCTCCTCCTCCTGTGAGTCGCTCGGACTCCGGCCCCAATGTTGTGGGGGCTGGTGGGGGTCCCGGTGGGTGTGTCTGCAGGGGCTTTGGGCCACCTGTGCCAGGGCCGGAGGGGACAGGCTGCGGCCGGGGCTTGTCTGGGGGTGAGTGTGTGGGTCTGTGACCCGCCCGGGCACCGGAGGCCAAGATGGAGGCAGAGGCCCCGCCTACTCGCAAGCCTGCCCCGCGTCTCAGGACGTGTGCTCGCACGGCTCCCACTGCCCTAGCTGCTAAGCGCTCAGGCTCCCTTGCGTTCGGTGTCCCCGCCTCTCACCTGTGTCCTAGAAGCACGACACAGAGCCTTGCCTCGGCCAGCCTCTGCCTCTGCCTCACCTTCCCTTCAGAACTCGTCTGCCCTCGATGCAGAATCCTGACCTACTTGGCCCCCCTGCCGCCCGGCCCGGCACACGGGACCCCGCACCCCTTCCACGCTCTCAGTGTGCACACGCCTCGCTCTGTGCTGCACGGGACCCATGTGCAGTCAGCGCATGACGCCCCAACTCAGGTGGGCAAACTACGGCCCCGGCCGCTGCTTATTTTTGTAAATAAAGTTTTATTGGAACACAGCCGCTGATGTTTTCCTATTGTCTGTGGCAGCTGCCACTTACACAGGCAGCCTTCCGTACGTGTGGGCGACACCACGTGGCCCGCGAGCCTAGTGTGCTTACTTACTGCCGACTGAGGAAAGTTAGCTCCCTGCACGGCCTTGTGCTTTGAGTGACTTCCAGCCCTGCAGGCCCGTCGGGCCCCAGCCCCTGGGACAAGGACACGCCTGCCGTGGGCCTGGTCTCTGCCCTCTGTTGCTTCCTACTGAGTATTTCTGTTTTTTCATTCTGTGTGTAAGGCTAATTCTTTTTCATCACTCATGTATTTTAGTTTGCACATTTGTAATTTCAGAGTTCTATTTAATGATTCCTTCTTAAACGCGTCTTCTGGACACTTTCGAGCAAACACGACTCTAGACAACGGTGCTCTAACCTGCTTGCCAACCCTTTGATGCCGGCTTGGCTGTACCATCCGTGCTGAGGGCCGGCCCCCCTCATCCTCGGCACCCTGGAGGCCCCTCCTGAGAACTGCACACGGGTGGCCCCCTCTACTGCCGGGGGATGTGCTAGCCTGCGTTGATGTGGGGCCCTGTAACAGTTAACCCCAGTCCCGTGCTCTCCAAGGGGAGTGGACTGCAGGGGGAGAGGCCCTGTGGGGGGTGTTCTCACCGGTTCACTTACCGTCACTCCAAGCCTAGCCCTAACTAGGCAGCGATAACTGAACATTAGAAAATAGAGGCGCCTGGGTGGCGTAGTCGGTTAAGCGTCCGACTTCAGCCAGGTCACGATCTCGCGGTCCGTGAGTTTGAGCCCCGCGTCAGGCTCTGGGCTGATGGCTCGGAGCCTGGAGCCTGTTTCCGATTCTGTGTCTCCCTCTCTCTCTGCCCCTCCCCCGTTCATGCTCTGTCTCTCTCTGTCCCCCCCCCCCCCCCAAAAAAAAAAAAAAAAAGAAAATAAAGTAGGATGACTTCAGCACACAAAAAGGAAATATTAAAAATGGCGCTGTATTGGAAAGGGGTGGATCCTGCCGGGGTGACACAGCCCCACCCCCTGCCCGCAAAGAACCTCCCTGGGCTGACAGTGGTATGTTCGCTGTGTGTGGAAACCCGGGGGGGGGGGGGGGGTGCAGCCCAATGCAGAGTGACCAGGGGAGAACCTCTTGCTTTAAGCTGGCACTCCGGTGGTACCAAGTGCATCCGAGCCCCCGTGATGCCAGGCTGCCACCTCCTGGCCCTATCTGCCTCCTTCCCGCGTTCCCGGACTGGTGTGCACTTGAAAGGAATGTGTGCCTTTCAGCGGTTGACTAAAACCGAAAATACATACACACACACACACACACACACACTTTTACTGTTTACATAGGTCTTGGCCCACATATCACCTAGAAAGTCAATTAACCCGTTGGGTCACATCCAAGTTTTTACTTCGTTTATAACCTCCATTGCACACTAAGTTAATACTGCAGAAAATAAAAAACACTCAGAAACTGATGTGAAAACCCAGAACCCAGTCATCGGAACCGAAATAGGAACGAGTCCCCAGAGAAACAACTGTGCTGACGCTTAAATGCTTTCACGTAATTAGCGTTCACGATTCACCAGCCGTTGCGTGTTTTCCTGCCACGTCCGCACCACGCACGTAACCGGCAGGAGAGCTCCCGGCTCCGGCTCTGAGCACACGGGAATTCTCTACAAATGTTCTGCATCGGAGGTTCGTTTGCTCTGCCCAGAACCCGCGGGGTTGCTGGCAACGCCTGGGCTCCTCACAGGGCAGATTCTCAGGACTTCTTGCCCGTCCGTGGTCGGATTCCCAGGAGCAAAAAACGGACGCAGCGTCTCCGCGGCAGGAATTTCAGTGAATGTGAAAATGTGGGATCCGTCGCTAACGTGGTAAAAGGAAACGGTGCCAAAATTCCTATCCAGGAAGACCCCTACGCGGTGTAACCGGGGGCTCACCGAGAGAACAGTCACAGGCATGGTGCCGGCTTGGAAGAGATCTGTCCTCAGACCCACCGTCCAGAAGCCAAACTCTGAGGACAGCAGAACCGGCCCTTGCCGATGAGCAGAGTCTCTGCAAACACCCACGTCCCATTCCTTGCTGGTCCCCACGTCCACCTCCCAGTAGTGGCGGCCAGAGGAGAACCCAGGGGAGCCCAGCACACAGAGGGCATAGTCGAATCTCTCGGCCCGGGGCGTCCGGTTCTGTCTGGAATACCCGCAGTGGACACTCTTCAGGTCCTCAGAAATGACGAGGTAGCCGTTGGCCGTGTCAACGTCCAAGGTCACGTCCACTGTGGGAGAGAGAGAAGGCAGTCAGCAAGCACACGCGCCTGGCGGCCCTCTGCACGTCTGCTGCAAAGCCCAGACGTCTCGGCCGCGCTCACCCCTTCACCCTCCGCTCCGTGCTGCCCGGAATTTCCCCGGGGAAACTTCCCTGGCCCCTGAGGAGGTTGACTTTATAGACAGAGTGGGTGACGGTGCTCAGAACTAGTCCCTCTGACTCCTAGCGTGTGTTCTCTTCACACCAAGTGATCCGACCGAAGACGCCGGGCGGCATGGTCTCAAATTATGCAAAGTAGTGCGGGCCCTGCTGACCTGCAGGCATCGGGTGAATGTGTGAAGGACGGAAACTAGTGCACTTAGTGCAGAATAACAGTAAATATGCAAGTTTTTCACATATTTCGTTGTCTTGGCCAGTACCTTCCTCGTCTACCGATGTTGAGCAGACAAGTGCATCCCGGGCCCTTGCTCCCTGGAGTTGTAATCACACAGAGGAGTAAGGCTGGGGGTCCCGAAGGAGACGGGTGAACTCTGGACAGTCCAGGCAGAGGAAGGGACCCCTGTGGACACCAGTGGGGACGTGCTGGGCTCTGGCAGTGACATAGACACAGGGCAGTGCCGGAGGGGCAGGGGGTGGGGAGGAAAAGGACAGTGGGTGCTGCCCACGTCTCTGGCTTGCCCTGTAGGGAGGCCAGGTGGCCGCATGGGTGGAGCCAGTAGCCTTGGAAGCAAACCCTCCGGACCGAACACCAACGGCTGCACTTGGCGTCCCAGCACACAGGTGTTTGGAAGATGCCCAGACCCTCTGACCGTCACAGGGGACGTGTCGAGACCGGTCACGTTTCTGGGACACGGCTCACCATCTCAGATTCAGGTTGCAAGGAGCTGGAAGTAAACTCCGGGAACACAGAGACCTGTGTCCTTGGCACGACACTGTGGGCTGGTGTGCCCACCCCAGCACCCTCCTCACAGCCCGTTCACACCCACGGGACCCGCCACCCCTCAGGACCCAGCACAGGGGAGTCGGGACGGAGTCGGGAGGAGCAAGGGCTCTGCGAGCTCCAAGGAGCCTGGGAGGTCCCTCCTGGCATCCTTGAGCACGTTAGACGCGCAGCTGAGCCGTGAGAATCCACGGTAACCCTGACTTGGGAGAGAGTCAGGCGTGACTCCTCTCGGGTGCAGGCCACGGCCGGAAGCTGAAATTGTTTTCTCACAGATGGCGCTAATCTGTACTTCCAGGAAAGCACGACCGGGCCTTGGAAAGCTATGTTTCAGCTCATGCCCTTAAGAAATGGGTAGGCAGGGGGCGCCTGGGTGGCTCAGTCGGGTTAAACGTCCGACTTCGGCTCGGGTCATGATCTCACGGTTTGTGAGTTCGGGCCCCGCGTCGGGCTCTGTGCTGGCAGCTCAGAGCCTGGAGCCTGTTTCAGATTCTGTGTCTCCCTCTTTCTCTGCCCCTCCCCCATTCGTGCTCTCTCTCCCTCTGTCTCAAAAATAAATAAACCTTAAAAAAAAAAAAAAAAAAAACATTAGAAGAAACGGGTAGGGAGGCTGCGTCTTCCAGGGCATTTACGTGTGGGGACAGGCTGTACCTTGGAACTTGCGTATCTTTGGGTTCATCCGTAGAACAGCTCGCAGCTGGGGCTCTAACTCCTTGATCTTTGCAACCAGCCTCCCAAGCTGGCTTCCGGGCCTGATGTCCTCCTTCTGAGAGACCACAGAGCAGGAGGGGCACAGTAGGCCCGCCCCGTCGGGCTCTCTCTGCAGCGAATCCAGGCACCGCAGGCAGCAGACGTAGCCACATTTCAGGTACATGGGCGTTTCGAGGTAGGCCAGGCACACGAGACACCTGCTTACTTCTTTAAAGTGTTCGGCCATGGCCCCTGTCTGGGGAGAGACGTGCACGTTGGAATTTTCCATGAGGCCTTGGGCCACTCTCCCCCTTACACCTGCGGTACTTTGCAGTCACTGCTAACCGGTGGCAAAGGTCCCGCACACGTACAAACATACGGGACTCGCGGCCCTTGGGTTCTGAGGTTTAAGATGCTAGACGGGATGAAGGACACGATTCGCCCTCAGGCCCTAAGTGCGTGGTGAGAGGGGCCCTACCGCACCCGAGCTGTCTCAGCTGGTGGCCGGCCAGCCACCCCTGGCTAGGAGCACCCGGGGTGGGGCTTGTCCACACAGAACAGTGCCGCGAGCATGAGACACGCACGCGTGTAGCGGGGAAGACCGGACGAGACGCACAGAGCGTGTATACCATCTCATGCAGAACTTCCAGAAACCAGTTCATGCTGGGAGGCTTGCATTTTGCTGAGGTCGATTAGATTTGCCTCATTGTCTGTCTGTGAGGCTGCCAGACAAGGAGCTTGCCGTTCCACAGGTGGGTCAGCTCCTGGGCAGCCAGGACCGCACCCCCCTCCCCCCCCCCCCCCGGCCCGCCCCCCGCCCCGCCCCCGGCACCGGACACGAGCTGCAGCCCAGCGTGAGAGGTAGGATGTCAGTGGCTGGGGCTTTGCTCACCACGTCTGCGCTGGCGAAGCTCCATTGTGGCCCAGCAGGGGGCGACCGTCCCGAATCTGCAAGCCGGTGTGGGGAACCTACCTTCTGCCTGCCGCTCCCTTCAGAGGGGCCCAGGACCCCAGGAGCACACGCTGTGCCTGCCCTGAGTTGGCATCAGACGGCACTGGCTGCATTTATCGATCGCTCCCTTCTGAGACTTTGCTTTCTCCTATGAGCTCTTGTAGATATTTAACATTTTTCAAGTTTTTTTTTTTTTTTTTTTTTTTTTTTTTTAATTTATTTTGAGGCAGCGTGAGCAAGGGAGGGGCAGAGACAGAGGCAGAGAGAGAATCCCCAGCGGGCTCCGCACTGTCAGCCCAGAGCCCGATGCGGGGCTCGAACTCCCAGACCGTGAGGTCTGACCTGAGCTGAAACCCGGGTGCCCCCAAAGTTTGAAAAAATTAAAAAAATTTGGCTACAGTTGGCACGCAAAGTTATGTTAGTTTCAGGCGTACAACATAGTGATTGGACGGGTCTGTAGTTACGCTGGGCTCAGCACGAGGGTCCCCCGACCACACTGTCAGAAGCTCACTGACCGTGTTCCCTGCACCTGCCTTTCCTCCCCGTGACTCACTCCCTAACTGGAAGCCGGGACCCCCCTCTGCCCCTCACCCGTGCCTCCCACCTCCACCCCAACCCCCCTGGCAACCACCCGTTTGTCCTCCGTAGTTATAGGTCTGTGTAGACACTTAGGAAATAAGAAGGTTGTACGCACCTCTTCTGCTCTGGCCCCAGGTCTTGTCCCAGCAGCAGTTCTGAAGTGAGATCTCCCAGGAGGGGCTTTTATTAGCACTGCTCCCCGCCCATCCCACCCATTTCCTCCCCTCTAATCCAGTCAGAATTGGATGAGTTCTAGCATCCCTGGGACTTTTCTCTGTTAGAGAGGCCACCGAAAACAAAGGAGGTTAACTTCAAAGTGTTACTTTTAATATGATAAGACCACACGGCTGCCTCGGGATCATTCTAGACAAATGTTGCATCTTTCTTCTGTGGGTGATGACAATTGGGGTTAGGGGTAACATTTTTTAAAGATACATCGTCCTTACTGATCCCTATACATGAATGAGGCTAGCTTCAAATAGTTTTTTTTTAAACATTTTCTTTTTTTTTTTTTTTGCAATGTTTATTTATTTTTGAGAGAGAGACAGAGCTGGAGTGGGGGAGGGGCAGAGAGAGAGGGAGACAGAATGGAAGCAGGCTCCAGGCTCTGAGCTGTCAGCACAGAGCCTGACGTGGGGATCAAACTCACAAACTGTGAGACCATGACCTGAGCCCAAGTCGGATGCTCAACCGACTGAGTCACCCAGGCACCCCATCAAATAGTTTTGGTCATGAAGGTGAATTCCCCCATTTTGGTCCACACAAATGGTTAAGCCCACTCAGAAGTCTCTCCCCAAATCACACGGACTAGGTCACGGCCACTTCTCCACAAGTGTTTTCTCCACAAACGTGAGGACCCTTGCTTAGAAGTTCGGTAAACATGGGGCGCCTGGGTGGCTCAGTCGGTTGAGTGTCCGACTTGGGCTCAGGTCATGATCTCACTGTTCGTGGTTTCAAGCCCCTCGTCGGGCTCTGTGCTGACAGCTCAGAACCTGGAGCCTGTTTCTGATTCTGTGTCTCCCTCTCTCTGACCCTCCCCTGTTCATGCTCTGTCTCTCTCTGTCTCAGAAATAAATAAACGTTAAAAAAATAAAAAAAAAAAAGTTCGGTAAACAGGGGCACCTGAGTGGCTCAGTCAGTTGAGCGTCTGATTTCAGCTCAGGTCATGATCTCCCAGTTCGAGGGTTCGAGCCCCGCGTAGGGCTCTGGGCGGACAGCTCAGAGCCTGGAGCCTGCTTCCGATTCTGTGTCTCCCTCTCTCTCTGCCCCTCCCCCCGTTCATGCTCTGTCTCTCTCTGTCTCAAAAATAAATAAACATTAAAAAAAAAAAAAAAGTTCTGTAAACAAGCCCCAAAGCTCATCCCTGACGACAAGTGAGCCCGTGAAGGTCTGGCTTCACGTTCTTTACAGAATCAAAGACTGAAGATGTTTTACAATTATTACCATGGGATGTGCTCCGTCACAACAGAGATGAGATACATAGGAGGAGGCTTTTCTTTTCAATCACGTGCAAAAGCTGTCCCTTGCAGTTTAGAGGACTCCGTGTTGATCACAGATTAAGGGGCAGGATGAGAAAGTGGGAGACAGCGGGGGTGGGAGGGGGTTAGACTGTGTCTATGTGGTTACGTTAAGTATCATTCAGTTGCTCACTTCCACAGAATCCCTTGCTGGCACCTACTGGGCGTCTGTATCGCTTCTAATGGAAACTGAGGCACGTCCCCCAGCCCACGTTTGCCATCCGTGCTCTCCCGCCTCCCGGGTTCTTAACCACACCTCCTCCTCGGGGTCCCTCCCGGGACCCAGCCTGAAGGGAGACCCGTGCAGATGACGGGGGGGGGGGGCAGCAAGGCCCCCATGTCTGCTCTTTGTTTCCTCACAAGATACTTGACGTCATTAACATTATCTTGTCTCTTTTTCTTAGACTCGCGGGGAAAAGAAATCTCTGTAATTCTGACTTGTGGTTAAGCGGCTGATTTGGGAAACAATTCAGTCCAGTTAACACGAGCCGTTAACTCAGTCCTGGCTCCGGAGCCAGGAAAGATCGCTGCGGCAAAGCTTTGGCAACCACAGCCAGACAGACGGTAGACGAGATGAAGTGCATCGGGGGCATTTGGGCCATGGGGTCTGCCCACTCGTGGAAGTGCTTCCTTCTGTCCACAGTGGATACGACCCTGCCTGGGGCACAGAAACCCCCACCCGGTCATCTCTGATGGCCCAGGAGTGTGCCACGCGGGCATCTCCTCCCGATTCCAATAAAGCACGCGAGACTTCAGTATTGTACTCTGTGCCCTGGACTTTGCTGGGTTCATCTCAGACACCACCAGGGAGGTGGGGACCAGCCATGAGTGGGATCGTGGCCTTTGCAAATAACATGTTTCCCCATGTGTGAAAGTCAACGCGTCTTTGGGAGTTGGGACTCTGGGCGGTGACGGGGACTGTCCTGGACGGGGACCCCAACCTGCGCCTGGTGAGGCTTCTCCTTTGGAAATCACTATTTTATTTCAACATTAGCCATGGATCTCATACCTTCACCTTGACCTGAGGAGATATAGGTCCAAGCTGACAGAGGAACAACATAGTCGCTAAGTAATCACGTTGTACTGTGGTCCAGAGTAAGGTGAAATGGGATTTCGCTGCACATTATCCCCTCGTAGGAGATCCCCTCCCCCCCCCCGACCCCCCGTATTACAGCCAATCACTGACTAGAGAAAAGAAATCCCTTCTTGTCATCCGTCTTTAATGCACATTAAAAACATTTTTTTAATGTTTATTTAGTTTTGAGAGAGAGAGAGAAAGAGAGAGACAGACAGACTTGCCGTCTGTGAGTTTGAGCCCCATGTCAGGCTCTGTGCTGACAGCTCGGAGCCTGGAGCCTGCTTCGGATTCTGTGTGTCTCCCTCTCTCTCTGCCCCTCCCCTAGTCACACTCTGTCTCTTCTGTCTCTCTCTCAAAGATGAATAAACATTAAAAAAAATAAAGATGAGTCATAACAAATAGCTCATAAATATAAATATAAACATAAATATAAAACACATATATTTTCGCAATGAAATTTGGGGTTTGGTTTTTGTTAAATATTCTCCTACTTATTTCGTCCTTGATTCTCCATATATAAAAAGCCTGGGCAAGATTTGCTTTGTGAGTGTCTTAGGCTTCTAACAACCTCTGATAAATGAAGTAATTCTAAAACCTGACTCGGGTCAGCTCGCCGCCACCCCCCAGGAGGCCCCCTTGTGCCTCTCGGTTCTGGTGCGGGCTTCCTGCCTCCACCCTACTTTCCCAGAAAACCTGGAGAGGCCCGGGACTCCCCTGCTGCCAGGCGGCTCCGTTTAGCAAACGTCTATGCCTCCTGATGCCTCGGGACACCTTGACTGCCTGCTCTTCACAAGACGATTTAAAATCACCGCAGTGTAAACTCACAGGTACATGATGTCCTATCCTTCCTTCAGCGTGGAAATACTTCAGCATGTTTGATCTGGCGAAACTCCAAGAAAGTCACAGCCCCTTGGTTGTTCCTTCCTATCGGGACCTTTCCTCTGGTCCCAAGACAAATCTTTCCTCTACCTTGTGTTCCCAGGACAGTTTGTAAACCCTTCTCCTGTAAGGGTTAAATTGTAGTGTAGGGCTAACGCTTAGCTTGAAAAATAACAGTTTTGTTCTGACACTGAAGGTCAAAAGATAACAGCCTTGTTTTTACTCTGGTAAATCACTGCTTCATACTCTTGTAAATCAGGCTTCACCAAGGAAGGAAACAAAAGCTCAAAGAAAAGAGCATCAGAGACAAGGTCAAGGAGATCCACCGGTTGCAACTTAGGGGCAGAAAGTCTAAAATAAACACCTCATTCGGCAACTGTTTCTAACTCATCTGGCAACTGTTTCTAACTCATCTGGGAACTGTTTCTCTGTTCTGTTCCCAGGTAATGATAAAACGATGTGATCGGCTTTAAAAACTCTGTACCCCAGCTGTTCCGGGCCGCACTCTTATCAAGAGTGTTGGTCTAGATCGGTCGGCCTTGCCTCTCATTGTAATAAACTTTGTTGTGACTGTCACTGGTGCCTGTAGCAGTCTGTTTCAGGAGTCGTGTGGATGCAACACTCCTAGAATCGTTCTCCGCAGACTCGTGTGTTGATCTTCAGGTTTCCTTGTTGAGACAGCCGCTCGTGAAAGCTGGTGCCGTGGCCTTGATCTTTGATATTAAATAGCAGAGTATTGGCACATCATTGCATAGGAATGATGCACAATGTCATTTAATGCTTGAACTGTGATCATTTACACTTGATTTAGTCACTTAAACTTTAAATGATTAAGTCTAAATTTTAAAGTCAATCTTGTCTTTTTCATTTTTTTTCCCTGGATTAAAAAAAAATGTTTTTTAATGTTTATTTCTGACAGAGACAAAGAGTGAGTGGGGGAGGGGCAGAGAGAGAGGGAGACACAGAATCTGAAGCAGGCTCCAGGCTCTGAGCCGTCAGCCCAGAGCCCGACGTGGGGCTCGAACCCACGAACCACAAGATCATGACCTGAGCTGAAGACAGATGGACACTCAACTGACTGAGCCACCCAGGTGCCCCAGAAAAATGGCTTTTTAAATCACATGTAAAAGCATGGGAAATTCCTCTGAGTTTTGGTAAGGCATGGTAAAAAGGAAACATTAAGAGTACATGCAAGGTATTTGTGATACATGTCTCGGGTGTAAAGATTACATTTCACATGAGGAAAAGGAAGGAGAGCTTTGAAAAACAGATTTGGGGATGTCACAAACTGCACGTAGTACAATGTCATTAAAGGATACTCACCAGACTTCTGACAGCCTGAAGCCCAGGAGAATCAAGGTCTTTATCCTGTGTTGAATCTCACTGTTCTGTAAGGTGCTTACTGCCACTGAGCTTTGTTCTTTATTTTAATGCCTCTGTTTTCCTCCTCATATAAATAATAATTGTTCGTTTGTGAAAGTTTCCAAACCCAAGATAAGCAAATAGAAAATGCGAAACAGGGGCGCCTGGGTGGCGCAGTCGGTTAAGCGTCCGGCTTCAGCCAGGTCACGATCTCGCGGTCTGTGAGTTCGAGCCCCGCGTCGGGCTCTGGGCTGATGGCTCGGAGCCTGGGGCCTGTTTCCGATTCTGTGTCTCCCTCTCTCTCTGCCCCTCCCCCGCTCATGCTCTGTCTCTCTCTGTCCCAAAAATAAAATAAAAACGTTGAAAAAAAAATTTGAAAATGCGAAACAGACAAATAAAATATCAAACGGGGAAAAATGGTCACAGTGGAATATCATTTCAATCTATTACAGATAGATGAGTTTTAGAATTTTGTAAAGTTAAGGGGTGCCTGGGTGGTTCCGTTGGTTGAGCGTCCGACTTCGGCTCAGGTCATGATCTCACGGTTTGTAGGTTTGAACTCCAAATTAGGCTCTGTGCTGACAGCTCGGAATCTGTGTCTCCCTCCCTCTCTGCCCCTCCCCTGCTCACACTCTGTCTCTCTCTCTCTCTGTCTCTCAAAAATAAATAAACGTTAAAAAAATTTAAATATCTTTTG